TCAAACCAAATCAACCAAACACCATGACCTGAATCAGCACGCATAAATAGTGGCATTCAAATACGTAACTGTTAGAACAGAATTAATATCTTGTGGGGAATCATATTTCAAGTGAATGCAATATACCGTGTCCTCATATAATCCACCCGAGCCAATTACGTATTCCACTCACCACGGAAATTAAACACGATTGTTATGAGTTGGGATATCGATGTTAATACTTCCGTAAAAGTAGGGCAATAAATGGAAATGTTGTTACGTCTAAAATGAGAATAGTCACGATTCCAACGCGCATGTACACTCTAAGCACAAAGACTGCTAGTAAATGCATAAATAGTTGAGAAACTTTTAATATTAATTTTAGAATTATTTAACTGGATGTTTTTTTTTGTATTATTCCTTGTGTAATGAGAGCCGACAACGTAGACAATATCGCCGATCATACATAGCGTATGTATTGGTGACGATCGGAATCGACAGAAGCAGATTGATTTATACACATCAGACTCGGTGATATAATGTGTCATATTGTGTATATGTTCACAGTTTAATCGATTCAGGTGTCGTTCACAGTGTGGCATTCACTTAATTCAAGGTCGTTCATAAAGCTTAAGATCCCCCGTAATAATCGGTATATGATGCGTTCTACTGATGGTTTTGATAAGGTATGGTGGTACCGATTACGTTTGTATTTCAGTCACGTAACAAACCAATATTTCCGCTGTCCCTTTGAAATCCCTGCGATCTATTCGTTATGGGACTGGGCACATACCGGCATGAGATGGGGGTGAATTTGTACCGTCTACAAACCACGGCCATTACCATATACGATATTGTTTTGTGAAGTTCAATGAACGATTAAATCAACTATTGACCATTCATGTTTCGACCATTCATGTAACCATAGCAACACACGATCTTTAGTAAGACCATGAAAAAGTGTCACATCTGCTAAATGCTAAATATAGTGAGGTGAACAAATACGATGAATTTGTTTGCAAGCTTACTCGGCAGTCACGATGTGCATGCACCGCCAGTCAGATCGCGGTGGACTTCCATTTCAATACACATAACATAAATACAACATAGTTACTGTATTTGAGTACCCTTACTGGTTTTTAACTGTTTTATTTACAACCGAAAAGATATGATCTGAGCGAGAGTTTTTTCTTACTGGGAAACCATGGCAACTGAAAAATTACAATTCGCAAATACCCGATAACTTATCACGTGTTTTATGCACGCAGCAAATGACAATCACGTAACGCGAGACATATGGCATTTTCTTTATTTTTTCAGTATTTTACAGTCTACAACATATTTTATGTCTCCAATGTCATGTGTGCGAGTCATTTATGGGCGCCGACAATCCTGATTGCGAATCTGAAGCTACCATGGGCAATTCACGAACTTGTGAGGCAGTAAAAAACCGATATTGTACAGTAAGTCAACGAATTCTTTTAAGTCTTCAATGAGGTATATTTTGTGTTGTTACATAAACATATATATTTATTTAAATTGCAGCGACTAGCACGCTCTAAACATAAACAAATTAGTGAATGTATTCAGACTGACATCACTGTCATAAAAATGAATTAAATACGTTATAAATTATAGATTGTATAATAATCACTCAAAAAGGGGGTGGGGTCCTCGACGATCGGCAATGAACAAAGTATCGTGTAATATGATGTAGATAGCGTAAATGTAGCGAGTAGACGCATACTCGATTCATTTATTTCGATCGTGACGAAATTTAAATTCTTAGAAATTGCATTTTTCGTCAGCTAGAAAAACTTGTTGGACTGCGCTGACATCGCCCATTATCCCAGTTCGCCAAATTCTCCTGCCATATTTCAAGAATTCATAAAAAAATCGGTAAAACGTGTTTTGTTCAACAACATCGCTAGCGATTCCATTTAAAAATTATAATCGAATGATGTGATGATAAGAGGTCGTAAGATCGAACTATCTCGAAATGAAGCTGTGATTGTTGTGAGACGCTGCCCGACTGATTGGATTAAAAATAACTGTTATTTCCTTGCTATATACATGGTAGTAAAAGGATTCACGTACACTGTGCAGCCGCATAGATCTAGTCACAAGTTCTACGCGCGTGGCCCCTTTCCCACAAATCAACCAATAGCACCGAGTTTATTCATATTCATGTGAAATTTGTTTTCAAAACACGTGATATCCTGTAATCTGTTTATATTCAAATAATAACACATGCTTGTGAGGGCAATATCACGATCTGTTGCCTGGACAAGGGATGGTGGTAATTATTCTACATTTAAAAAATATCCTAAACATCAAAACAGAGTATCTTACTTAATATCCATTCTGGTACGTTCGCTGTCTATTTCGGATGGCTAGAGTTCTTTCAAAACCTTGAAAGCAGCAACAGCGACCGGGGCAGCACCAGTGCAGCGAACGACAATTTGTTATGCGCAGTATCGTTGCGCAATGGTTTCAGTGACGTCATCCATGTGATATACTCGTGTATTACCCACATAGCTGGCAGTATACCATGTAATATCCATTTTTACCTTGCCCGTACCATCACAGATGGAAAGGAAATGTATATTAAGGGGAAATGTCTGTCGTTGTTGTCGTCGTCGTTAATAATTGCTGTCGTCGTCGTTAATAATTGTTATTGTGTGCATAATAACTTGTAATAATAGTGTTGGTATATATACAAATGTGTGTATTGAATCAATGAGACACAAATATCTGTTGCACAATAATTATCATCGATATCTCGCTGAGAGCGAGAAAGGCATGGGACTTGTACCGTACATTGTTGCGTCTAGTGTTCCAAATAGTATAGTTACATAACTTTGAACTGTGGACTCTATGACGGCAAAAAAAACATTAATTTGGGGCAAAAATAAGTCGCGTGCCTCGCTTTGCTCTCGACCAGGTCTCAAATGGCATTTACATATATGGGCCATTAAATACCATGGTAACTGTTTCTTGATCACAATTTTCAGATTTCCGTATCTCTCGTTGTGAATCAGATTGCTTCTGTTGTACGAACATGTGATGACACCTGTGAGCGTGACGACACGTCATGTTTAAATAATGAATACGGTACGTGTATCACTTGCTGTCAGAAGGACAACTGTAACAACGCCGCCGTGGCAAACCTGCTGAGACTACTATCTGTTTCACCCACATCACAGAATAGCATATCAGAACTATCTACTACAAGCACAGAAAGTATCAACGGTTCTTCAAACATAGCCGCGTCAAGTTCGGACGGATTCAGTAATAGAGTTCTATTATCTTTATACATGATACCATTTTTTATTTTGTATAGTGACCTTAAGTAAATACTATTAGCTATATATAAATGGTTGCACTACACAATTCTTTAAATATGCTCAACGCCACCCGCACACACACAATTGTTCTGGTGTGTGTGTTTTACAAAGGATTTCTGCATTTAATACTATATGTAAAATTTAAATAAACTTCAAAAGAAGACTGTGCTTTTTTTCGAAACGTGTATTGTAGTATATTTAACGTCACATAAAGTGTATCATAAGATATACCACTTTATAATATACTTTCATGGTATATACAGATATATCACTAACGACTATAGTAGCTTGTGCTGATTATTCCTTTATATACAATAAGATATCTGTGATTTCTAACAACTAAAATATTGCTCAATTCATTTGTATCTACTTATATTTTACATTATGTATATATGTATAACTTTCATGAGTGATTGATATTTGTTCTTTTTTGTTTTGCGCACTTTCAGCGGGTCGGATATATTACGGATAGCTGACATGTAAACTTACTTGATGTGTTTGTATGACAAAACATCACTGTACATTGCGAATTACTTGTGTTTTAATACGCACGTTTCGAACTGAATGTTATTTCACATGGCACTACAATGCAAACACTTACCAATACAATGCAGCTGCATGTCACTTACTTGATATCATAGGTCATATCTTATACTTTCTCACAACAACGTGGCGCAATTACATTTTACAAACGGACTAAGGAATAAATCCCACGAATGTTGCAAATACAAGCATAACTAAAAAAAAAAACGTGTGGAATAATGATACGTGATATATTCATTTCCACTCGAGTAGTGTTCTTGTATAAGCCTGGCATTTATTATGTAGTTGTTTTCAACCAGGGGTTTAGAAAATGTATTGAATAAAAGTTGCGTCCTTAGTACTAATATTCCAATTTGTATTCAATATTGCAACGGCAGTGTTGCCATGCAACATCGTATTGCACGGAAGCGACCGAGATACGCCGATTTCTTGTTAAATTATACTAATTGGATCACTAACATATTGAGTGCTTTGTAAACGAATTGTATATCGACCATACTGATTGTGACAGTGGAGATGAAAGCAAACTGAGGACGACAGATCAGTAATTACTCTTAGAATACCGAAGCGAGAAGACGGAAACCAAGTTGGTTAGTGACATCATGTCCCACGTATGACCGCCGCCAATATATCACCTTATATATAGTTAATTTTAGAATATGTCATTTTGTATCACGCAACATACATCGGGGCCTTTTGAAACAAATCAGTGTGGCAAAATCTCGAAGCTCATGATATTTTGGAACAATTACAGTTATCTAGAAAAGAATACCAGAATAAGCAAGCTCTGTGAATAGAATTTTAGCGCAAATGAATTGGTTTTTGTAATGGCTGACTTTAAATAGCTACATATACTAGAGTAGGTAGATTCAGCGTGGTGAACATCGACATTACTGTCGATTTTGTTTACATTCTTGTCTATGACGAAAATGATAAATAAATAAATGATACCTAAACCATCGAGAAATTGAAATGTAAACGCGTTAATGCAGTAATGACATTCACTTGACTTGTTTTCATAGCGGTAGGGGCATCGTATGGATCGAAACGGACATACTATAGTATAATGGCATTCACATCCAAAATGAGCGGGGAGATATTTACGGAAATCTGCTGAATGCTACAGTCTACGTACATCTCGTGTTACGGTATAATATCCAGATCTGATAGTCAGATACAAACAATATAATAATGTCAAACGTTGTGAAGATTAAATACATAAATACTGGCGCCATGGTTTCGATTTACATAAATACAAGACAATTAACAGCAAGAGGTAAAATTGCAAACATACATAATGGTGATACCTGAAGTGACGTCATTCATTTGAATGTACTCTTCGTCAATATACTAGTACATCCCACACGTAGTACTTACGACGAAGTCAAGTACTAGTAATTCTACACTATTCATTACAGGTCACTTGAAGGGGAAATAGAATTTACGAATTCTTGATTGACAATAAAATTGCAGCAAACAAAATACAGTTTAGGTGCAACAGCGTGATTATTTGCTATGTTCTTGGACTATGAAAAGGACACGGCATTCATAATGTTTGTCTAAGGTTGACGTCATATAAAGTAATTCATATGAAGTGCATACAATTAGAACATGGCGCTAAACAACAAAACACAAAGAAAGCATTTATCAAGTTGCGTATCACGCTCGTGTCCATACGCCGCGTTATTTTGTCCTTGGTTGTATTAAAATTGAGTTGCGTATACAATACAACACCTCGAATTATTATAATCATCATGTGACATAAGGAGACAGCAGGAAAGCGCTGTCTAAGCGGACGTCACTGGACACTATTTTTTCTTACAGATAGAAAATTTACAGGAACAACCTGTCATAAGATCGTGTGGACAAAAATAGTTATCCGTCTCCTTCCACGCTACTCCACTAACCACCAACGAACTTATCACGATTATAATTGTGCCGATTATTTCCCATGCATTTGTTCCCTGATAGCCTAGGACCACAACTCGATAGAAGTAATTGCCCACAATGACAATATTGGTTAATAGTACAACTCTTCCTGCTGTTTCCAATTGAAGTGCTCGATTGAATGACCATATATAAATTAGATAAAATAACACCATGGCGAAAATATATCCAAACACTGCCGGTGACTCCAATAAAGTTTCGGCAACAGATGAGAAATTGCTAAGATAGACTGCCGGTATTGCCAAAATTATCCCCACTAAGGCGTTTATAAACATTATAAACCCCACGTGTAGATCCTTCGACATGATACGTGTGGATGCCGCGCCTGTCGGGAGAAAGATCGCACCACTCAATGCAGCAAGAACATACCCTAATATCTGCACGCCATTTGGAAGTAGATAATTTTCTGTATCGCCGTATAAGAAGTCCCTGGAGCAGGTAAGCACGACGCCGACGATGTTCAACCCGATGCCCACGATATCACACACCGTACATCGGTCCTTTAGGCACAGTACAGAGATACAAGTGGTAAGAAGCGGAAAGAGAGAAAATGTTATTGCTGAACAGTTCGTGAATCCAACAAGTAACGCTGCGAGAAAGTATGAAAGTCTGCCAAAATTTTCAGTTACGGCCTTCAACAGATTCAGCAGTACATCGCGTTTGTTGACGCCAAGGATGTTGACCCGGTAACACAGTAAGTGAAAGCTGGATATGATGAGAACGCCTACAAGCTTCACAAAGAGGGTCTGTGAAGCGCTTAGTCCATTCTCCATGCAAAGAGCAGCGCACAAATTAGATATTGACAGCACTATTCCAGAAATCGTGGCAAGGGCTGCACCAGATATGAACGCCCAGACTTCTTCTGAACGAGCAGGAGGACAGTATTCTGGCGGTTGTTTGCCACTTACAGTTTCATCCCCAATATTCATAGTCGGGAAGACCCATCGATAGTCTTCGAGCTCCCCAACAACGAAGGATCCTTCATCGTCGTTTTCGGAACTCAACTTTTCTTCCGATATTGCGTCTCCATTTGACAAAGCCATATTTGATTCTGCCATTGATTCTGTCATCAGAGTTAGATCATCGACCGAAGTGTAATAAGAACATGTATGATTCATAACTGAGAATAGATATGTTTCATAAATATATCAAATAATACCCGCATTTAAAATATAATTGGAGACCCCTGACCCTACGTTCAAAAGGGATTGTATTTTTGCAGGCACTTATGTTTGGATTTAATATTTCATTGTCCCAAAGGGCAGAGGTCC